CTGACCCCCACTGAAGCCATGGAAATGGTTACCATTGATGACCCCACCTTTCACAGTAGCCTTTTCCCTCCAATACAAGGACCCCGAATGATTTACCACCTACTTCCACCAGGACTGACTCCGGTCTGCTCACACAGAACTATAGTGACATGGACCCCCTGACCCTGAATGCCCTAAGTGACTGACTGACCATGTCCAAGCCACTGGACAGAAATCGAATACTGCCTTTGACTGACTGTGGCAACGCTCCCTGATTGGCCACAGACCCCCTTGACTTGACTGAAGACAATTCCCCTTAGCCTTTGAGACTTGGCCATTTTGTTGAAGAACATTCAGTGAGCTTGCTGCGTAGGTTGCTGGCACATGTTGTAGGTATGGCATTAACACAGCACAGTGCCATAAAGGAAAATGTCCACCTTTTTGACTGATCACTTCCTGCAACCATGACAAGTTGTTTGGCTTTGCATTTGTGCTAAAAGACAAGGCAATGCCTGACGAATTTTGTGAGAGATAATGCATAAAAAGCAAGACAAGGCAGGGATGCTGTGCATTCACGTAGATGCTAAATGAATGAGTGCTAAGCAAAAAAAGCTAAAAGCCCTGAGATGTACCCTGTACAATGTACGAGATGGGTGTCTGTCCCTGGTGCAAAGCAGTCTGCTAGCAGCATTGCACTGGTGTTGCTGAGCTCCAAACTGTGATATTGAAATAGCGAACTGTATTCTAAGTGAGTGAGAGATATGCCATGATTTGTTTGTCTGATACCAACGTCTGTGGATTGGGGGGGAAGGTTGCAGACAGTTGCTGTGCATGGTGCACGTGTTGGGATGTGAGGGAATGTCGGCCAAGATGCAGACCCAGAGGAACAAGTGCTCCCAGGGACCCAATCTAGCTTTCATATTGGGAATTGTTGCTGTCTAGTTTCACTCCACCATCTGGGAAAATTGCAGCTTAGTACAAATGAGGTAAAATTAAGTAATAATGAGATGATAAAGCATGCAAAAAAGCCTTTTTGCCATCACTGGTGACATTCACATCTTGCTTTGAAAACCTTAAGTCAAAAATTAGACTTAATTTGGGGACACTGAGAATCCCATTTTCCTGATCTCTACATTGTCCATGTTATTCAGGTGTTGAGCATATTCTGCCCTTTAACTGTGCTTCTCGCTCCATAAATACTACCAGAACTGCTGAGTTTCTCCAGCACTTTCTGCTTTATTTTCGGTTATATTTTCTGATTTTGAATGAAGGATCATTATTGGCTGTGACCCTGAGGATAGCATCCTGTTCCTCAGACATAAGATCTTTTACGCACTCCCAATGCCCCAGCTTAAAATAGCTAAATCATGGTGCTTCATGGAGTGCAGCACCTTCTGGGTACTGTACCAAGTATTAGCCTTGATTTGAGTTTCCTTGAGGGGGGCGCAACTTGATGCTGGACCCTTCTGACTCAGAGTTCAGATTGCTAAGGACTGAGGCACAATTAGAGAAGATACGGAGGTGCCGGTGTTGGACTGGGGTAGACAAGGTCAGAAATCACACAACACCAGGTTATAGTCCAACAGATGTATTTGAAAAAACAAGCTTTAGGAGCTTCACTCCTTCTTCAGGTGTTACTGCAGTTAGAGAAGGATAGAGACCTAGGGCTGTTGGAGAGTTTCAAGGCTGGAGGAGGTGAGAGATAGTGAGGAGACAAGAATGTTTGGGGAGGGTTTACTGAACTGAGCCACTGTCTACAAGATTGAGGGATGAAAGGGGCAATGTTAGGGTGGCAGTTAAGAAAGTGAGAATTATAACATGAACTCATGATTGTAGAGGGTCGAGAACAAAATCAAAATAGCTTGTCCCATTGATGTTTGTATTTTCAGGCTGCTCTTTCCTCTGCCAGCTTAGATTTCATTTCTCGATTGGGTTTTGAGACTACCAGCAATAAACAAACACGCACTGTGTCTGCTGGATCTCTCTGTTGAATGGCTGTGTAAAAGCACAGCCCCGACGCTGTGGGTGACATGCGCTGAATCCTGTGATCTGACCGTGTTACTTGTGAACGGCCCGGCGGAGCTCAGCTGGAGTTTCTAGGACAACCTGGGAGAGCGGAGCCCGGGGAAATGCGGCTCCGGCATCACCACTAGCAGACCGTGGGCAGCAACCAGGGCCAAGTCCGTCTCTGGGAATAAAGCCGCCCGTGTGCTCGGATCGCTAGCCATGCCATCGGTTATGCTCCCACTCCAAAACACCTTGCGGCTGTGGACCTGAACCGGGAGGAGATTCCCCACCGTGTTTGAAACCGAGACCGAACTCAACTTGAAACGGAGGAGACAGGAGAGAGTCCGGCTATAGTGACTGAACCTTCTGGGTCTTTCCTCTTGCCATCTGGGGTAGGTTGGGAACCCGGCTTTCGATCTGGGTCCCAAACTTTCTTGTGCTACTGTGTTTGTTCCGTCACCTCCAGTCGTAGAATTGGGTAGACATAAATGTATCACATCGTTAAAACTGTTTACAACCAAATGTATTTTTTACACTACAGTAATGGTAAGGTCTGATGATGATCAGGAATAGTAGTCATAGTGCATTGTTAACGGTGAGAGCTCAGAAACAGGTGCCGAAACTCATCGGAGTCAGGTCTGCGCTTAAAGTTAAGAGCGCTATATAAATGCAAATTTGCCTTTGTGTAAATTGCACGATCAAATTGGCATCCGTAATGCCTTCAGTACAATGAGTGTTCTGCTGGGTGAATGCACGAGCGCCAGGACTGTAGACTGGAAAACAAAAAACGACTGCGAAATTCTTTCTCTACAGATTAGTAGAGAACATTTTACTGGAACGGTGATATTACAAAGTGCCCTTTTCCACAACGTGAAGGAGACTAGTCTCGGTGATTTGCATACCCAGAGCGTCAGCGGGGCGAGGTTACTAGTTGTAAATACATGAGTAACATCTGGTTAATTTTTCACAATAATAGCCTTTGCTAACATGCACAATATAGGTCTATGTCTGGCCTGATATGATATTAGACACCTTTTGCTCCCGTACATAGTGACAAATTCCACTTCAAATCTGTGACAGGTTGTTGGGGAATTATCCGGCTGATCTGCTGAAAAAAAAACTTCATCTCTCATTTGTTATCTTTAGATTTCACTATTCAACCTATTCCACACTCGGTAGATTTAAGATCATCAAAAGGTAGCTGCCCATCTCCTAATTCACACCAAGACCTAGTAACCCATCATCCCTGTGCTTGCAAGGTGTATTGACGCAAATTTGAGCAAAGCCTTGATTTTAAAATCCTCATCCTTGATTTCAAGTCCACCTCCCCTCTTTAACTTTACAATCTCCAGTCCTACAATACTATAAACCTCTGGTCTCTCCATTTCCAGTTCTTTCCTGATTTGCAGTTTGAATCTTCACTAAGGCTGGCCACAATGCAGCCTCAGAGGACCTGTGTTATGGAATTCCTTCTCCCAATATCTCTGGTTCTCTACTTCTGTTTCCTACTTTAAAATGCTTCGTTAAAACCTACATCTGTGACCAAGCTCTCTGAATACATTATTATGTGGCTGGTGTCAACTTTTGTTTGGCAATATTCCTGTGAAGCAACTTTGAATGTTTTGCAATGTTAAGGCTATTAAATTAATGCAAGTTGTTAGTGATAGTTCGAAGTCAAGGCAACACAGAAGCACAGACATAACTATGACACAGTTACTGTTATGATCCCTACTGCTGTTATTATTGAACAAGTCAAATCCCAGACTGAAATCTGGCTTGATAGTTTTTATTGGTTTAAAATGAGATTATCTTTCACTGAAGCAAGTTTAACAATTAAACATAAGTTTATGATGCTAAAGAAATGAAGATAAAATACAATGAACCAATATATTTTCTTATAATGAAGTTTAAAGGTTTCAAAACACAGTAAAAATTCCTATTAATCCAAAAGACTTTCCTTTGCAGTACTCAAACCAGAGAGAACTCCCTTCTTTTTCACACCTATATAAATCTTAATTTAATGCAGCTGTAATAACTTAAGAAAATCTGATCGCCTCTTCTTGGAGCTTTCATATAACTGAGCTTAGATTTTCTGCGCTTCAAATAACCTCTTTCAGGTTTTTAATCAAATAGTTCTGATCTGGAACAGTTAAATTAAACTACTCTCACTGATGTAATCTCTTTCTTACCAATCCCATAACAACATCCCACCTCCCCCCACTGCCTTGCTCAAAAGCAACTGGTTTACACATTCAACTTCAGCCAAGACATCTGGAACACTGCCCCAGACTGAAACAATAATGCTTTGTTTCTCAAGCTATGGGTGTTTTCCTAAGCCTGCCCAAAAATCCAGAATCTTCTACTTGAAAATTGAATGCATTTCAGTGCTTGCATTAGTTGCTCGTTACTTCTTCCAGTGTAAACAAATCCCCATTACACTCCAGGAAGTTACTCCTAAAACTATGTTTTGAAAGAAATCACCACAGTTATAGAAATAATTGAGTTAATTATTAAACCCCATCAAAATTAATGATATCTATATATATAAACCACAAACCTTACATCACACTACAAAGGAACAATATTAGTAAAACTGCACTTTTATCAGTTTGCAAATTCCAACATCCAATTCTAAAACTGATTTTTTTTTAAATTAGGGAAATGTATCCAGAAAATAATTCAATATTAACTTCAAATTCATGATTTGCATGTGTCAGATGCTAGTCTCACATGCTGTAAAGAAAACTATATACTACCATAATAGTGTACTTTGAGTACATTTTAAAAAGCACTTCTGCGATACCACTGTGTCATTGCTATTACCGATATACTGGTCTTAGGTCTCCTGGGAGATATTGCTGTACAGTAGCTCTAATTAGCATGGATCTCAAAGATACTTTTGCTTCCTAGTTTCTCCACTGTGAGCTGCTAATGTTTCCGTGTCAGTTTCATTCTGGTTCTTTACTAGTAGTCAGAGTGGAGACCTCAACTCTGTAAATCCAGAAAATGATTCAAATGCACAGCACAGAAGTGAAATCATTATCAATGACAGATGTGGGGCTTAGCAAAATAGTGTTGAGCTTACATTGTGCAGAGCAGCATTACTTCTAGGTACTGTGGAATCTATCCTAATCAAATATTCGGGTGGATTTCAGAGCACCGACAGCAATGAAAAATTTGTTCTCTGACTTGGTTGAAAGTTGAAACAGTTGTGTCTTAGTTTTGGGGTCAGCTTACCTTACCTGTTGTTGTATGCCAACAACATGAAAACCTCACTGCTGTCCTAAATGGACAGATTTGAGTGCTCAGCACACTCATGGCCAGAGAAATTGCGTGAAGTTTGGAGTTCAGCAGCAATAATGTAAGGTAAAGTCACCATAATCTTGCCAGACCATAAGGCTGCTCACTCATTAGACAGAGAAAACTGGTGGTGGCTTACCTTGAGAGTCACTATGCCTCAGGTAAGGTGAGAGGTTGAGAAGGAGAATCCTTCTTGGAAATCTGAGCTGGTGTGGGAACTGAAGGCACACTGTTGACATTACTCCATGTTGCCAGTGCTGAGGTATGACGACGTCAGTGAGGAAGTCATTTTGCAGCTTGATGCTAGTAAAATAGAATTTTGAACAATCATTTGGCAGCAAGGACAATCATATTCCAGGGTGCTAATGTAAATTGAGGAGATGATGGCCTAGTGGTACGATCACTAGAATGATAATCTGGAAACCCAGATAATATTTTCAGGGCCTGAAGTGGAATCCCATCATGACAGAAGGTGGAATTTAAATTCAATTCAACTAAAAGTCCAATAATGACCAAAAAACTACTGTCAATTGTCATAAAATCCCATGTGGTTCGCTGATCTCCTTAAGGGAAGTAAACTGCCAGCCTTACCTGGTCTGGTTAGATGTGACTCCAGAATCTTAGAATTGTGGCTAATTCTGCCCTCTGAAGTGGCCAAGCAAGCCAGTCAGTTGTACCCCAAGATATCTAGGAATGGACAGTAAATGCTGACACAGTCAGCAACGTCCACTTCTGATGAATGAACAAATTTTAAAAAAAAGCCAGCAATCCAGCCAACTGAGCTGGCCAACTTCCTTACATAAGAACATTAGAAATAGGAGTAGAGTAAACCATCCGGCCCATCAAGCCTGCTCCACCATTTCAATAAGATCATGGTTGATCTTTTTATAGGCTCAGCTCCACTTATCTGACTGCTCACCATAACTTTAATTCTCTTACTGTTCAAAAATCTATCTATCTTTGCCTGAAAAACATTCAACGAGGTAGCCTCAACTACTTCACTGGGCAGGGAATTCCACAGATTCGCAACCATTTGGGTGAAGAAGTTCCTCCTCAACTCAGTCCTCATTTTGAGGCTATGCCCCCTAGTTCTAGTTTCACCCACCAGTGGAAACACACCTCCATGTTTCTATCTTTACTCATCCCTTCATAATTTTATATATTTCTATAAGATGCCCCCTCTTTCTTCTAAATTCCATTGAGTATAGTCCTAGTCTACTCAATCTGTCCTCATAAGCCAATCCTCTCAACTCCAGAAACAACATAGTGAACCTCCAGTGCACCTCATCCTGTGCGAGTACATCCTTTCTCAAGTAAGGAGACCACAACTGCAGACAGTACTCCAAGTGTGGCCTCACCAGTAGCCTACACAACTGCAGCAGAACCTCCCTATTTTTAAACTATATCCCGCTCGCAATGAAGGGCAATATTCCATTTGCCTTCTTAATCATCTGCTGCACCTGCAAACCAACTTTTCGTGATTCATGCTCAAGGACACCCAGGTCCCTCTGCACAGCAGCGTGCTAAATTTTTTCACCATTTAAATAATAGTCTATTTTGTCATTATTCTTACCAAAATGGATAGCCCTGCATCATTTTAAGTAGGTAGCCAATGGCATTGTGCCTTGAATGCTTATAAACAATCTCTTGAGATGGTAATTGGTGCAGCCAAAGCATTCGTACTGCATCATTTATATTATTATATTTATATTCATATTTAAGGGTGGATATTCTTGACATGGAGGAAGTGCAATGAATATTCATCAGACTGATTCCTTGGAAGGTACTTTGAGGAGAGTTTAAGGAAATTAGGCTTGCTTTCTCTAGAGTGAAAAGGAATGAGAGTTGATCTCATTGAAGCATCGGAAATTTTTGGAGAACTCTACAGGGTACATTGGAAAAAGCATTCTTCCTGCCCGCACTTTGCAGCATTGAGTTCTGATTCTGGAAGTCGCTGCTGCCTTGGATGTTGGAGGTAGTGCAGAGGAAAAGCAATTTAGGTGGAATGCTGCTATGGAAACTCAGTCATTCAGTGTATTGAAGTCAGAGATCATTATTGAGATATGGAGATAATACGGAAAAATGGCCTTGA